GAAAGGCACGACCCTGCCCAACTCCCCTGCCACCTGCCAGATCCTGCCAGAACTTGTGGACTGGCAGCCGGGCACTCTGGCTTTGGGCATATTGCATTGTTTTCCATAAGTTGCGAAAAACAGTCCATGGGAGAAACGGTCTAAGTTATAGGGGAAAACGCCACCGACGTCTGCCAACCGGGGCAAGGGCCCCGCCCTAGCGAGCCATGCGTATCGCATTGGCAACCGCACAGGGCACAGGTTGAAAACTGAAAGGGACGCTCCAGTCGGCAGGAGCGAACAGCTCGGGTGGCGGTACGAGCCGCGCTTCGGGCGGGCGCTTCGCGGGATCGGCGAAGCCGTGCGCCGCCAAAAAGACCTAGGCGAATGCGCGTGCGTGCTCGGCGTCTGCGTCTCCGCCAGCATCTCGGGAGCTTGTCCTTAGGCCGCGCAGCTTATATCGCCGCGCTATATAGCGAGGAGTATCGCCCGGTCTTGCGAGCTCTGTTGCGGCTTATTGCTTCCCGGACAGCAGCATGCGCGTGGCGAGTAGGAAGAGTTTCTATTTCCATCTTCTGGCGGCGGCCGCGACAGTTCCCCGATCAACAGCATGCGTGGTGTGCGGGCTCGTGATGAGGCGAACGGCTGCACGCAGGAATGGGCCGCAGCTTGCAGCGTGGGCACATGCTGACGGGACTCCTCTTGGGGATCGATATATATCGATGTCGTTGAGGCTGCGTGGCATGTCATTGCTTGTGACATGTTGCTGCAATTGGCGGCGGCCACCCGGCGACGGCATCCGGTCCGCTGCCGCCGTGGTGGCTCCATCCGGACTGGTTTTCCTCCAGCACTTGGCCATGGCCTTGAGCAAGCCGGGCCGTCTTTCACGGCGTCTTCTGCTTCTTTTGGCGGACCTTTCGTGGAAAACCTACACTGCCAGTGGTTACACAACTGCAACTGCCGCAAGCAAGACCTGCAAGTTTGGCTTGGCGTGTTCCTACCCGGCCAGGGCGCACGGTCGCTGAGGCAACAAACGCCCACACGAGTCCATGATTTCGGGTCTAGGGCTTAGGTTCACCGGTTGGTGGTTGATTGCCATTAGGATGAGGATGAGGGCTGATCATTCGACAACGATGTGTGCCGGCTTTGTAATTATTGCAACCCAGTGAAGCCTCGAACGCGCGGCCATACATCCGAAAACAAGAACCAGCGCCTGCACGCCGGTGAAGCGTTCCGTGCCGCCTTTTTTCGTTTGTTTGGACTCGGATAAACAGAGAGCGGATCAGGGACGCCAACACAACGTATCAAACTTGACGAAGCGGGCAGCGAGTTCGGGAAGCTCAACGACAGCAAAGCAGGCAGGCCCAGCAGGCTTTGGTTGTCAGTACATCCAGCATCCGCGTTCCGGTGGCCGCCCTGACGCCTTAATCGTTCCGATGGCCTGCACGCTTGCTCCAATGGCGCCGGGGCCCGACAATTCCTCATCCTAAAAACTGTTAGTCCTAATTTAAACTTCGTACTACTCCACGACAGCCGGGTCTCAGGCGGCGCGAAAAGTCTCAGCTACTGGGAGCAGCAGTCAGTGAGGCAGTGTTGCAGTTTTGTGCCAACTCGAAGGCCTGCAATAGCAGTTGTGCTGAATCGTAGATCTGCACGCCTGCAGCAACCGCAGAAGTGCAAACACTTTGCTTGCTGGCCTGCCGGCTCAGTTTTTTGGAAGTGCTGATGCCCGAGAGTGGGGTATGGCAGGTAAGCGACACTTCAAGGGTCGTCAAATGAGCATGTGACAAAGCACAGGGCACAGTGCATCGCTCGTCGTGCCATTACAAACGGCCCCAGTAGTTCGTACGAAAACTATTGCAGCCGTATATTAGTCATATTGCTGCATGTGGCCCCACCTTGGCAAAAGCCTCAGCAGGGTCGAATTGGGACACTGAGACGATGAATGGGATCGAGACCAACAGGCGTTACACTCTCGTGCATGCTTGACCTGCACTTGCCGCAGGGCAAGACGGTCCGCCTTGCTTGGCAGGGCCTGCGCTTAAGCAACGTGCCTTTAAGACATTATGGTACATGATTTTCAATGCTTCCATCCCCAAACCTAAAGTGTCACTTGCCATGTCGCTTCGCAACGGACGCTGCCAAGCTGACAACCGTCGTTGCTTGTGCTGTAATTTTATGAGAGTTGCAGCCACGGTGCTTCAGTGTTGAAGTTGCACACTTGTACACACAACAGCTGTCTCACACGCATCTGAGTCTATGCACGATTCCCATTCGTGATAGGGGCCGGGCTGCCTTTAATCATAGGCCCGCGCAGGTTGGGATCAAAGGCTGTAAAACCTCGCGCTGAACCGGTAGACCGTCGCTGCACAAAAGCTCGTCACCAAGGCCCAAGCCTCCAGCAGCATGGACCCTCTTGAAGGCTTCCTGAAATGCCTTCCGACCCACCGCAAAGCACATGAACTTGTCGGACGGACGGGGTCGCGCGCCTGCTCCATGCTCGTGTCCTCCAGAGTGATGGCCTCAAGTTCGCCACTCTCTTCTTCAGCACAGCTAGAGGA